GAAATTGCTGTTTAGCAATAAGGCCGCCAATTGTTTACTCAATCTTTTGAATAATAAGCTCCTGTAAACAATGTAACATATTGAGTGCAATAAAGTATTATTATTATTATTATTACGCATCCTTGTACACAACACTCACGGACAGTTGCTTGTTATTGGTAGTAGTGCGTGAGTGGGCGGGGCGTAATAAACGCTGCAAGAGACATATTCATGCAAATATCGATGCAAAGTGGAAAGCGCAAATGACCGCGATAGTACAACTCAAAATGATTAATAAAAACTGTTTCGAGTCTAATTTTGGTTTGCTTTTTGTACAAAGTTCTTACCCTAAACTCTAACTACTCAAAAAATTGTATTTCACTATTTTTTACTATTTCACTTGAAAAAATTTATTCTTAGAGCTGTTTTATATTTAGTGACAATTGACTTCTTTTTTATGATCTTAAACAGAATTCAGTTTTATAGCTTCCCTAACAAAAAAATATATCTATACGTTTTTTTTCTTCTCCTGAATATATACCTACAAGTGCCTATATACATATATGTGCGATATATATACCTACAAGAATTAATATGCTGTGAAACAAAAAATAGCTTTCCAGAAATCACCATACCCAATTGTGGAACTTGCGGAAAATATCACAAACAATGAAGTTTCAATGATCGATAACTTATTAATCACACCCTTTCCTTTTCAGAATAAATATGGGATTTGAAAAGTATATCTGATTATCACAACAGTGTGTTTAGTTGTTACAAGTTCTAACATGTTTACATTTTTACTTTATGGGGACTACTTAATTGAAAAATCAATCTATTATCATCCAATTAAAAATGGAATAGTCCTCGATTTCTTTTTTGCAATCATAATATTGAGTAAGTTATTTTTTTTAACTATATTGCTTAGTTTATTTTTTTACAAACAAAAATAAATAATGTTTTCAACAATACTTAGTCTGGCCTTTAATATTGTTACAATTGTGTCATTTTTAATTGTGTTTTCTCAGTTAACAAATGAAAATTTTGAAAGTATTCATTACTTAATGTTTAAGGACTATTGAAAGATACAATGAAACCTCACCTCCTTTGTTTGCTTTGGTATTTGAACAAAATAGGCAAAAAACGAAGGTAGATGTTCTAGAAATCCTCACCGAAAGCAAAGGATTTTATCTCGGAAAATAAATGTTACACAACTACGTCGCGTTATGTATAAAATGACTTGGGGCTTGCAACCTAGAGTTGTTATTTAACTGAGAGGTATACAAAGGGTAAAATTAACAGTAAAAATTATCTTGCTAGTATTTTTTTTTCTGTGAACCTGAAAAAAAAAATACTAACGAGATAATTTCTACTGTTGAGCAACGATATTATATGACAATAAAAAAGTTATTATTATTGAAAAATCGTTTCGACAAGCAGAATGACCAACCTTAAGCTCGAAGTTCTATGAAAGCAACGTGGATATTATCTGACTTCAGTGATTGTTAGGTGGTGTTTCATAAGTACATATTCGTCAAGCATGGAGCGAATACGTTACGGACTTCATCAAAGCTGAAGACTGGCCGTCAATTAATCCACTGCATTGTAATTTATGATTCGTTTTAAAGTGTATGACTTGCTCTATCACGAAAATTTGAAGTTCTTGAGACAATCATAACTGACCCCATTGTTTAAAAGTCTGTGTTAAAGGAGTTTCATATATTTTAATGTGTTGTGTTATAGAAAAAAAGAATATTTTTTACAAAATTTATAGTTAGACTAAGTATTTTTTACAAAAATATAAAGAGTTTGTTCTATTATAAATATTGTTGTGAAAGAATGACTAACTTTATTTTTTTCAGCTTTAAATGTGATTGCCTTGAGCATTATAGAAAATTATTACAGTGATGTAACAAGCAATAAAATTAAGCCGCACGCTGCCACAGAAAATAAATTAAGGCAAACGTCAAATTTTGTAATTTTAATATCGAATAATAAAATTTATTATCTGATAAAACTTAAGGTATTATATGCTTTTCATTATTATTTGTATCATTAAGTTCTTGTCATTAAATAAAAATGCAAACCCATGATATTGGGTTTATTATAGACAACATATTCTGTCTTATTATACAATGAGTACTAAAGTTGATATTTGGTTTAAAACACTGGCCACCATAGCAAGTTGAAAAAAGAAATTGAATAAAAGAAGAGAAAACTTCAAATTGAGACGAGTTTATTTGGTCGAATAATGATTTAAATATGGCACTAAAGTTAGTACTTGTTTTATCTTTAAAATCGTTTCCTCACTGCTGAGGATGGTTAGTCAATTTTCTATTTAGGCTATCAAATGCACGCATCCATCTGTTGCGTTCGATTGCGTGGTGTACTGCTACACTGACTGGTGTCTCCAGTTGTTTGGATATTTGTTCCGACCATCTTTTTGGACTTCGGCCTCTGGGTGTCTTTCCCTTCACCTTTCCTGTTACCATCAGTTGTTCTAGGTAGCTTCTACGAGCAATGTGACCGAAGTATTATGTTCCGAAACTTATGTTTGAATACAGTAGATACATAAAATTCTTTGGATTTTTAATTTCTAGAAGAAATATGGTATAACAAAAGTAATGAAACCGATGAACCAGTCCATTTGACGGTAGTAAAACGGCCGAGCCACATGTTTTGAGGTGTAGAGTACAGTTTGTAAAGTAAGGGCTTGTAGAGTTAGAAGCTTGGCTCTGCAAGAGAATCTGTTCAATGAGTAATGTGCGTGAAAATATATAAACAAAAATGTATCTGTTTTTTAGTTACGGACTTTTATACTACTTTATGAAATTAGAAAAACAGTCAGTTCTTTTTGAATGTCTTTATTAAACATTATAGACTTATACTAATTGTCTTAAATATGTTAACCAGCAGTTAAGGCTGTACGTAGTCTGTCAGTAATCAATCAGTTAGTATGTTTAGATAAAAAAATTTATAATAATAAACATGGATTTTTTATAAATTCTATAGAATTTTGACTAAACGAAGAACCGGAAAAAACCCATCAAGGCTGCTTTTTCATCCCTCTTTATTTAAACAGAGAATTTGAATTGAAAATGCTTTCATTAAACTATAAATTCACTATCCATCAAAATATTAAAAATAACAAAAAAAATATAATAAACTTTTTAAATATTCTACAAAATATGTTATTAAAATAATTGTTGGCGCAATACTCAATAGGCTGTTTTTATGTTTCGCTGTTTTCTTCGGTTTTATTCGTACTCATAATTAAACATCCTGTACTCGTAAATCCTGCAATTATAATAATTTATAACTAACACGCTCTCGTTGCCCGACTACATGTATTAGTTCGGTGAAAACATGGACCGAATCACGTTCAGTGTTAACGGGCTGAAATGCTCCGGTAAGTGAAATATAGTTATTTTAAATACTTAAATAAAAAATAAGCGGCCAAGTAAGAGCCGTACACGTGGTGTCTCGTATCATCCTTAAAAAGTTAAAATAAAAGCGCGTTCTTTGTTTTCTTTGGAGTTGTTCGAAATTTTCGAATAAATACAATGAGTCGACTATTACTTGTAAAATTGTAAAGGCAACTTAAGTGTGATAGTTTACTTTTTAACTTCGTTATTATATATACTGCTGTGACATTTGAATTTCTAACAACGAGCGTTTAGTGTGTACATAAAGAAGTATCGAGGAGACGAAAAACATACTGCCAATTATTTTTTCTTAAATCATTTAATATATTCAGTTTATTGTAGTTCAGGTAAGAACTGTGAAAATATTTTGTTTTTATAAATTTACGTTTTCAATATGACAAAACCCTTTGGAATATATAAGGTGATAATGATATAACACGCGCCAGGATTTCGTGGGGTGGATGGGTTAAACATACTGAATAACTTTTACTATGGGAGCAACACTGAATTCACGAAAAAATAGTCTGCTGTTTCATACTGTTGGCAACTATAGGTATTACAATTTTGTATGGTATATGTTATACTTAATAATATAAAATAGTAATCTAATATCGATTTAAATTATTAGCTTTAATTATAAATAATGATTATGTATATTTTTTACTAAAGCAATGTTTGTAAAACGGAACTTTTTTTTTTCTTTTATAATATGGCAGGCACGGCTTGTACATTTTGCCAATGTCAAGTAAAAAAAAACGGAACTTATTCCACTTTAGATTCCATTTTTTTATTTTTTTATTAAATGAATTGCACTTGACTCTGTTAGATTCTGACGCCAAACTAAATGATTATATTCGTAATCGGAAAAAGTACAATTTTCGAAAAAAAAATCGTCCTGTTTTCCAGTTCCTTTTTTAAATTATTGCAGTTGGCTCCGAGTTAGATTCTGACGTCACACTGAATGATTATGTCCGCAATTACCTTAACCTGCCCGGCACTAAGTACATGTGCAAGGAGGGTGGATGCGGGGCATGCATAGTCGCCGTCACCACTACGGACCACGATGGGTATAAGAGAACGTTCTCTGTTAACTCGGTTAGTAGTGCCAATTCTATTGTAATATTCTTCATAACTAAAGTAAAAATAATAATTTTAATTTAATTATAGTTAGACACTATTCTGTGTATAATATCATAATAATAAGTTTATTTCTATCTTGGTTGTCTACAAAATAGAAAACGCAGGTTGAAACGATTTATCTATAACTAAATTTAGACTTAAAGATAAATGCTTAAAATAGCAATCCCAGGTACCAGAAATGGGAATTTTGAAGCATTTATCTTCAAGTTAAATATTATGTGATTCGTTTAATTGCAAAAATGATGAATTAAAACAAACATAGACTTGTTTGGCAACAAAATTGCAATCTATTTCCATTACATCACATCACGTTAATAGACTGATAAAGTCAGAATATCTTGACTATAGCTTTCCATTTATACTAATCGAGCTGTACAAAAAACATTAACTATTGTGATCAGTAGAACGTTGTTAAATTAAAATACATATTTTATTTAGGTAAAAAGGTTATTATAGATGGTAACTTAATTTTTTTCTGCACAAAAAAATTTCCTTCTAGCACAACCGCCATTTTGACCGCAAACATAAGCAAAACTGCGGTATTGTCAAATCTAATAAATAGTTAGTTACCGATTATATAAATCAAATACCTGTATAAAAACCTGGAGTCCGAGAAAACAATAATCTTTCTTTAAAATTCTTTCTATGATAAAATAATATTTTTTTATGTTATCCGCTTGTTTTTATATTAAATGCAAACCTTTTTATTGTTTTAGCTTATCATGTTTATTTTTAGTTTGCTAAATACCCTTTTTTTCTAAATTAAAACGTTTTAATTTATACAATGACAATGATCCATGAATGAATAACCGTTTTAAAATCCAAGGCTTTTATAAGCTTAAAACGTAATATACCTAGACCAAGTGTTACAGATATTTAACTCATAAGTCATATTTTAATGTGAATTTAAGATTTTTGTTCAGGTTTTTCTAACAAATATACCAATTAATCTTAATCCAATATAAAAGTTCCATTTGGCAGGGCACTTCTGTACTTCCATATAGTGATTTCGACATAGGGTATCGTCCAAAACAACTAGTTCTATATTAATTTACTTCCAGTGCCTCGTATCTGTGGTTTCATGTCAAGATTGGGAAGTGACTACGGTGGAGGGTATTGGGAATCGACGTAGCGGGTACCACCCGGTACAGAAAGCCCTGGCTCAGTACAATGGCACACAATGCGGTTATTGTAGCCCCGGATGGGTCATGAGCATGTACAGGTACAGTAGTACGCAGATGTTTCAATGAGAAAGTGAGGATAAATAATCACAGACTTCGGCGTATCAGACTTCGGCGTATGACCGACCCTATAGGCGTTCCCTATGGATGGAATAGAATAAGGAATATATGTCTCTATAAACCATCAGCCCACAACGCCGGCTTAGTCGGGTTCCCGGGCTCCCGGTCGGGTTAACCTAGAAAATTACAAGACTTCTATATTGTCTTGGATCTGGGTGTTGTATACCTTCGTCGTCTTAGATACTGTATTATACGAAGGCCCAGGAAGAATTCCAAGATTTTAAAGTCCTTAGCTAAACTATTAGCTTACGGCTTTAGAATATTGGAATCTGAGCAATGTATGTGATGTTATCTAATAAATATTTTTTTAGGCAAAAGGTTTAAAATCCCGTCTGACTACTGCAGATTCAGCAGAAATCTGACTTTTTAATGTGCGTCCTGATATAGGGTTTTCTGTACTCGAGACAATAAGTTCTTGATCTCCCTTACCTATTAATGGACCTTGCAAAAACTGTTTTTATAATTTTTGTATTAAATATATAATAAATTCATTCACTCGGGGTAGTTGCAGCCAGAATATAGTTGATAGAAATGATATCTTACTGCTTTTTTTAAGTTAAATTAACTCAAATTTTTATTTGCACAAACGATTCTGTTCCTTATTGTCATGAAAAATTGTTTTTAAAATTACATATTGTTTCACTTACTCTTTTCTTAGATGTAATATTGTATAAAAAGCTGCGTATGAGATAAATAATGATAAGCATAAAATGTATTTTTATTTAACGTATTGCCACATTACTATTTTAATATTTCAATAATTGCCCTTTAGGTATAATTATTTATATACTAACATTAACTTCACAGCTTACTGGAATCAAAACATTATGATTTAACACAATACGAAATAGAAAATTCATTTGGAAGTAACACCTGTCGATGTACTGGATACAGACCCATTTTAGATGCTTTCAAAAGCTTTGCTAAAGATGCACCAAAACCTAAACTACAAGATATTGAAGATCTAAAAGAATGTAAAAGTGTAAATTGTAAAAACAACTGTGACAACAACTGGTGCTTTATTAATAAAAGTGACACAGATACAAAAACGAAAAAAATTGTACTGAAAGATAATCGGATTTTCTATAGAGTGAATCAACTTGATGATATCTTCTACGTTTTAGATAAAGAAGGATATGAGTCTTACATGCTTATGGGAGGCAATACAGGAAGAGGTATAATAAGAACTAGTGAATTATGAAAATCTTATAAGAAAGCATTTTTGCAGTAATTAATTATTTGCATTTTAGGAGCGACACCAATACTGGAGTACCCTAGAATTTTAATAGATATTAGTGCTGTACAAGAAATCAAAATGCATTACTTGGATCAGAACCTCGTTGTTGGTGCTGGGACTACTTTAACAGATCTGATGGATATATTTTTGGCAATTTCAAAAACAAATGAGGAATTTGCTTATTTGCAAAAATTCTATGAACATTTAGATTTAGTTGCTCATATACCGGTGAGAAACGTAAGTATTTCTAAGCGTCGCTATATTTATGGCAATATTGATAAGTAGTTTTGATAACAATTTCCGTCACACTTTGATTTTTAGATTGGGACAATAGCTGGAAATTTAATGACAAAACACAGATATCCTAAATTTTCATCAGATTTATATTTACTATTTGAATCGGTTGGTGCGTATTTAACTATAGGTAAGTAATGGGTTCATTTATTCTCGTATTTTTTAAGGGTTTACTTTTGGTATATACTAAGAAGCGGAACTGAGCTGAGCTGAAAACTATTTTTAATAAAGGAATATACTCTACGTTTTAGTAGTTCTTAGTTTTATAATATTTGTTATTACGGAGGATAAAGAAAATTTATAGAAAATTGGACTTATATTTTATATTTCACATATTTAATTAAACATTCGTAAAACAAAACTCAAAAATGACCAAGAAAAGCGAAAAACCCACATGACATTCCTAGTTATAAAATCATTATGAAACAATAATTATTAAACAATAAATAAAAAGACGCTTTATCGGACACATTTGCTAACCAGTTTAATTAAAGTAAAGAAGTAACAATTAAGTATTAAACATCATAGCAAAGTCGAGAAACTTAGAAATTTCAATAATGACTATGATATATATTGTAATCCATCATAATACTTTTTCTTTATAGTTCATCAAAAGAAATTCATAGAAGTCACACCACAAGATTTTCTACATTTAGATATGACTGGGCGGGTAATAACATTCGTAAAATTTCCACCTCTACCAGAAAAGTATAAATTCACATCGTTTAAGGTACGAGTAAAATTAGAACCGATGATTAATTAAATATATTAAAAAATAGATTGTATTTTAAACATGTAATTTATTATAGATTATGACTCGTTCACAAAATGCACATGCTCAAGTAAATGCTGCTTTCTTATACGAGTTCGATCATAACCATGACAATACTGTACTATCAGCAAGAATAGTCTTTGGAGGCTTATCCGAAACATTTACTCACGCTCAACAAACAGAACGGTTTCTAGTGAAAAAGAAAATCTTCACAAATGAAGTGCTGCAAGAAGCTCTTCGTGTATTACACGATGAACTAATCGTCGACTTCATACCTGGTGATAAAGAACCAGAGTATAAAAAGAAGTGTGCACTTGGATTATTTTACAAGGTAATTTAAATCCAATATTAGTAAATTATAGACCATTTACTATAACATTAGACAAAAGTTAAATAAGGTTCTTTTTATGGTAAACTTTGTGACAAAATATCAATAATCAGGTTACTGTTAAGACTAATGCCTAATTTACTACATATCCACTTAAATATCAGCTGCTATATTTGACTGTTGTCGTTTAAGCTGTTTATTGAACAAATTTATTAGTATTTTACTAACTTAAATGATTTAATAACATTTACAATAAGAAGTGTCAATTTTAAAGAACCTAAAGAAGCAGGGGTGAATAGTTTCGGCACGATTCTCATATCACTATAACTCTACAAAATTTAAAACGTTGCTTAATCCCTTTAAATGTTATGGCAGTACAGTTTTTATGGTGTATTCATAATTGTCAAAATGCGTAATCTGGAATTGTTATTCATTCATTCATCCTAAAAAGCTTCTGCGCTTCTGCGCGCAGTCAGGTTGGCTGGAGTAATACAGCTACGTACAATTAACCAATAAAGGCGTATACGTGCTGAAAATTTAAGCCCGCTTACCTTGTCTTACTATGACATTTTAGGAAGACAAAAACTTAACCTTTGACATTCAGGAAGTTTTTCTAATGTCTTCATCAATAGTCTAATAATGTCTGAATAAATGTTATAAAACTAATAATAAAAATTTCATTTCGTTTGACTTTCTTTCCTAGGCATAGATATAACTAAATTCTATTCTAATAAGATACACTTACAAGTATAATTTATGAAAACTATTATATTTACTATACATAGATAGATAGTATTAGTTCCATACTGGTTTGGGAGTAAAAGATGAATATAGAAAGTGCTGGCCTCATCTAAACCCCGTGGTGTAGTAAAAAAATTGAAATTGCCCAGCTCTTTCAGACTAGCTAACGTTTAAAGTTATGTTCGTACTTTTTTTTCCTAATATTATAAGAAATAGTGTAATGTAAAACATGTCTTTTCCACAATTAAAATGTATATCTATTACAAATATTAAACATTTTTCCGAAGGGTCTACTTCAACTGATTCCTGAAAGTAAATTGAAACCGTTTTATCGGTCTGGCGCCAAGAACTTTAAAAGAACAAGACCTGTTTCTAAAGGAGTTGAAGTTTATGATACAAATCCAGTAATATGGCCAATAAACGAACCGATGCCTAGAATAGATGCAATGATACAATGTGCTGGTGAGGCCGAATATGTAAACGATATTCCCGTGCGACATCAAGAATTGTATTGTGCTTTCGTCACTTCGGACATATGTGTTGGAGAAATAGAGAGTATTGATCCTACTCCAGCATTGGTATTGTTTTATATTAATATTGGAATTAACAACAAAAAAGTTTTTAAATAAAAAACCTTTTTGTTAATTACTGTGTTTATTTTCATTTTAGAAACTTCCAGGAGTTGTAGCATTTTTCGCAGCAAAAGATATTCCAGGAAAGAATTCATACCTATCCCAGAGAGTACCAACACAATTAATACCAGAAGAAGTATTTGCTGAAAAAGAGGTTAAATTCTATGATCAAGCCATAGGTATGATAGTGGCTGAATCGGAAAGATTAGCAAATAGAGCAGCTTTGCTTGTACGAGTAAAGTACAAAATAAATAAAAGAAAAATTCTGTTAACAATTAATGATGTGAGGGAACATGATCAAAGTCGGATTTCACTTACGTTCGTATTCCCAGCTCGAAGCAGAGGAGTAAATATCCAACGAGTAATTAAAGGTGGCGATGATATAGCCGGCCAATATCACTTTACTATGGAAACCTTGAGTTGTGTCACTCGGCCAAATGAAGATGGTTTAGAAATTTTTGCCGCCTCACAATGGCCAGATAATGTGCATATCGGAGTATCTGAATTTCTAAATATTGAACAATGCCGGTATTTGAATACAATCCAAATATGTTTTCTTATGTTTGTTTATATATTTATATGCGATATTAACTATTTTGTATTTTTTAGAATAAATCTGACAATTCCAAGATGTGGCGGAGGGTATGGACTCAAAATAAGTCGAACAGCACACGTAGCTTGTGCATGTTCTCTCGCTGCGTATCTATTAAATAAGCCATGTAGATTTATCTTGAGCATACAATCCAGCATGAGAGTAATTGGAAAACGGCTTCCTGCTACTTCAGATTACGAAGTACGAACATCCAATAACATTTTAAATAAAATATGCTTATAAATCCGCTTTGTTCCTAGCACTCTGAGATGGGATTTGAACCCTTGGATTCATTCAGGCAATCCATCCAAACATTGATGAAATACGCTACACTCTGTAGTAGCAAAAAAGTAACAAGTGCTTGAAAAATTCGTTAGTCATGTTAGGCTTGGGAAGCTCAATGGTTAAAGCAGTCACCCGGATTGCGAAATTTTTCATTAAGAATATTTTTTAGTATAACATTTTAAATAAATCCAATATAATAATCCAATGAAATTTTTTCTTAAATTCTTTTCATGTTTTCGTACTAATATAAAATCTGTAGATTTCATTAAGGTTTTCCTTTAAATTTAACACACTTTACTGCAAAGTTTACTTTTTTAAATACTATTTACTTGTTATTTTATATCACATGAATCTGTAACATGTTATAATTACATGATCACCTATTGTTTTTTTTTAGGTTGGTGTAAGTAGTAATGGTGAAATACAGTATTTAGAATACCACTTCTTCCAAAATTATGGGTACTTAGCTGCTGAAGCTATTTATACACTAACAATTCCATCATTGAAAAATTGTTACGACAATAGAAGGTGGCAATATAAACTGTTTAGTGTCACAACAGATTTACCTTCTAATACGTTCGCTAGGGCTCCAGGTAATTGAGAGTTATTTTTTTTATAACAATATTATCATATAATAAATAAATAAAATATTACATTTAATTAAAATTACATTACTAGGTGAATTAGAAGCAATTGCACTAACTGAGCATATCATGGAAAGGATATCGTATGAAATTGAGAAAGACCCAGTGGAAGTTCGCTTAAACAATATTGACCCACTAGCTACAGATACTATTGATGTTATACAAACAGTACTTAAAGAAAGTGAATATTATAAACGCAAGGAAGAGATAGCGAAATTCAACAGTACGAATAGATGGAAAAAGAAGGGCCTAAGAGTTGCTTTCTTAAGTTGGCCCGCACCAACACTTGTTGATTATCATGTTCTTTTAAGTGTTTTTCATGGAGATGGAACCGTTGTGGTTGCCCACGGTGGTGTAGACATAGGTCAAGGTATCAATACTAGAGTTATCCAAGTGGTTGCATATACGCTCAATATATCAATGGATAAAATTAAAATAAAGCCCACAACAGTTGAAAAGAATCCTAATACTTTCACTGTTGGTGGTAGCCGTACAACACACTCAGCATGTTTTGGAGCTATCAAGTGTTGTCAAATGATTTTAGACCGTTTATCCACCGTAAGAGAGACACTAAATAATCCAACATGGGAAGTATTAGTAGAGGCTGCTTTCAATCAAGGTATAAACCTACAGGCGAGCTATCGAGTGACCGCCAATGACGTGGACACCCATAGATCAGCTGGAGCTGTAGTAACTGAAGTGGAATTAGATATTTTAACAGGAGAACATGAGATCCTGAGAGTAGACTTAGTTGAAGATGTCGGTACAAGCGTTAATCCAGAACTAGACATAGGCCAGGTAATGTTACTAAAAAAGTAAGATAAGTAGTAAGTAATATATAGTATTTGAACTACTAATGAGGATTTGAATTTAAAATTAAAAAATTAAAGTTTTCGAAGTTTTGTTAGCTTTTTGATATCATACAAATATATCTTCAAATCCCTTCTATTCATGAACAGATACTCTATGCACATAGTTTACGCGTTTACAGTTAATATGTTCTTACTTAAAATTCGTTTCAGTTAGGTTGCTTGTTACTAATTCTCGTATTATTTCTACTCTCCTCAGGTTTCCTTCATTTTTATGAGCTATCGATAATTTTCTGATATATTTTATTATTTAGTATAAGGGTGAATATTTCATTTCGTGCAATTCGGCCGTTTCGGAGAACGCAAAAAAAATGATATCGTTATTTATTTAAAGGCTTAAAATTGAAATAAATTTTCTTTAAAAATGTCAAAAGTATAACAATCTGATATTCACTTTACGAGATGGATCTAAAAGATTTGCAATAAATGGTAAAGAGATTACACGGTAATGATTTTTAAATATTCCAAACACAACAATGAAATAAATATTCGAACACAAGAGATATAAGTCCCTTTTTGATAAAATTGGTAATTAGCCATTTTGCAAGCCACTACATTTTTTCAACAGGAGAACTTAATTTTACGAAGCCACGCTCCGTAAAATTTACTCCTTACAGGTTGACTATTATCGTCGATAAAGTCATGAACTAGCCAAAGATATTTAACCTAAAACCAATGCTCAGTGACAAGTAATTATTAAAAAAAACGAATTATATTGTGGAAAAGTAATGTGAGAAAAGTGCAAGGACAAAGTTTAAAAGCAAGTGATTTCTTTGAATATGTTCTTTGGTAAACAATAAATTTTCCAGGTGTAGTTTAACTATTATAATAACCTATAATTTTATAAAATTTTAGTTTTCCCTGTGAAATTTTTGCGAATTGCCGATTTCAGAATCCACATTGGATTAAACAAAAACCAATTTACGATTCGGTTCCAAGTTTTTTCAATGATTTATACATTATTTATCGCTGGACTCCCAATTTGTCACAATCCCGTAACTAGTTTAGTATAAATTAATGAAAACGAAATACTTTATACGGCAAGTTAAGAGGTGATTCAGTTGTTGGTGCAGAATCATCCGGAACTTGTCTATTCTATTTAGCAAGCTCTTCCTTGCTTCGAAAAGACGTTAAGTCGGTTGGTCCCAGTTGGATCTGCAGTCGTTAACACCCACCAATCCCAATTGGGCCCGCGTGATAGGTCATAGCCTGATCTCCGTGATTTCCATTAGGGACATTAATATAATTCGAAAAAAAGGATTAAATATGATTTATATAATTGATTTTATTAAATTATAAATTAGAAACTATTTACAATTTCACTTAGTCCACTGAAACTTATGATTTCATATCATGTTTTATAGGTTGAGGGTGCATTTATCATGGGCATCGGGTATTGGACACATGAACACCTTGACTATGATAAAAAAACTGGGGAGCTCCTAACTGACCGGACATGGAACTATGACGTACCACTCGCTAAAGATATTCCAATAGATTTCAGAGTACGGCTGAGAAGAAATTCTTTCAATCCCTTTGGAACTTTGGGATCCAAAGGCGAGTGTATATAAGTTGATAGTTACCTATTTATCTAACTTTCACCTACATTAACATTTATTAAGTATCATTTATTTAAAATTTTGTTAATTAATAACAAATGTAATGTAAAAAACGATTTACATTTATTAGATACTATTAAACCCGTTGGAAATACATGTTCAAAATCCTTTTTAGTTTATTAGTTTACCAAATATCGACTCAAATCGTCCAGAAGATACTTTAAATGACATCGCTGTCTATCTATATATTTATAAAAATGAATCTCCGAAATGTGTGTACGCGCATAACTGTTAAACGACTGCACCAAATTGAATAATTATTATGTACAAAATAGAATAGGGACGATAAGTAATTTTTGTTTATTTGTCCGTCAGGTAGACGTAAGACGCACACTTTTTTTATATTTTCTGAACAATCAATAAATCACAGCGATAAAATGTCGTATGACGTCACGCTTTTGTACATTGTTTATGAAACTGTGACGTAACGAGCCCCCGCTCCTCAACTTTAGTGCCTATTAATATACCTAGTATCTTCTTCTTAGTCTGTGCTATTAATTAAGCTTTTATTCTTCTATTTATTAACTAAGCTTTTTCTTATAATAATAATAATAATAATAAAGTTTTGTTGTTAATTGTTATGGTTGGCTACAATAGCAACTGCAATTATGATTATCTATTACGTTATTACAAAGTAAATGACTTTTTTATATTTTTAAACTTTCAACTTCACAACAAAGAACTTCACTTTTTCAAAAATTAATGCAATAAATTAACAAACTAAGAATAATTGATTTATTTTAACATTATTTTGGGGATTTTTATATATATTTTAATAATTAATACTTTCTATTTTTAAATAACGTCACGCGGGTATTATTTATACAGGGTTCGAGCGCATTGGCAATTTACGGAACTTGTACACATAAACCTTTGTCTTTAATCACCCTGTATATTGATGAAAACGCATTAAATTCGTTGTGTAGTTTAAAAGATCACAACTTATAGACAGCAGGAAGCGCCTCTGTTTTGTAACAAAAACTGTGAAACATTTTTTTAAGTTTGATTTATGATTGAACTGATAAATGAAATGGCTACTATATTTTTACAATAATCCTGTATCGGTAGAAGGTGAAGCCTACATAAATAATACTTCTCGTAAATATGTATTTAGTTTGGTTTGTAAATTACTTACGAGATAGTTAAAGTATTGTATTGTGAGTGCTATCAAATGACTATTCAGTTTAATTTCAGCTGTTTCAGAACCGCCTATATGTCTGGCCGTGAGTGTAGTATTCGCTCTCAGGGAGGCTATTGCAGCATCCCGCGAAGATAGCGGATACCCGAAAACCCAATGGTTTGATGTCGGTAAGATTCATCAAACATCTATCAAAATTAATTCATGTGTCCAGTGTAAATATCTATTGAGAGTCATAGTTCCAGTGTAAACATCTATAAGAAGTAGTGTTTCCATAGTAAACAATTAAATAATTAAGTCAAGTGTCCAGTCTACTTAGTATTTCCAGTGTAAATATTTACTAAGTCATGTTTCCAGTGTTAAGTGAAATAACTAATGTTAACTTGGAAACTAACCATTATAATAATAATAAATACAAAGTTAAATGATAAGCAATAATTAAAAAATTAACATTAAATTTACTTTCGTGATATATTATTTTCAAAGCTCCTTCATTCACCATTATTGCTGATTAGCTTTTCAGGAGGGTTTTTGAGGGAGGAGGGTATCACCAAATAATGAGGTTTTCTTTAACTCTTTATACTTACATAAACAACTCCATGTGTAACTCGCTATTACAAATCAATATTCTAATATTCTTTCCAGATGCACCATACACAATCGCCAAGAATGTTTTGAAAGCAGACGTCCAACTTAAAGAGTTTCTATTCAATTGAAATTTGTTAATATTATTTCTATTATACTGGTGGAGGATTAATAACTGCTTCATTTCTCCTTATCACAGTTTTTCTCTAAAGTCTTTTCTACAAATTATTTTTTATCGCTGTATGTTCAAAAATATGAAATGACTGAAATACGTTTGAAAATTGGTCTCGCTTATATCGTTAAATAGAACTTTGGAATAACATGACCACATATTAAAATAAATATTAACAAAAAGTATTTCTTTAATTAATCAATTGAAATAAACGCTGAGAAGATTGGCGTAATCGATATTCCCCGCGGTTTTCAGCTTATCGTACGCCCGAATTAATATCATGCAAATTCAAAAATTTCACTTTCTTAAATGTTTATATATTTTGAGCTTAGCTCTAGTATTCGTGTAAGCAGAGATTATTCTAACTACACTTATGCCATAGATTATTCCTATTTCTAATACATACTTATAATATTTCTGTAGCTAATACAAATATTGTGAAAATAAACAGTTAATTTCTTTTTTTTTTATTTTTATGGCGATGAATGATACCTTGAATGATAACTTTGATAATCATACATATATCAGATATATTTTTATGATTATCAAAGTTGATAAATAAAGTTAATCAGTTATACTCTTCCGTTCTAAAGCTTAAGTACGAGTAGCTAAAGCTCCTGTTATCTCTCTTTTGTCTAAATAAAAAAAAACCTTATTGTTGGTATTACTTTAACAGACCTGATGGATATAAATTTGCTTATTTTTAAAAATTCTATGAAAATTTAGAATTAGTTGCCCATATACCGGTGAGAAACGTATTTCTATGTACATACACATTTGTGGAATTGTCGATAAGTAGTTTGTAAACTCAGTGCCAGCCGTGTCCATTAGTAAGAAGTAAGACAGATCTATAAAATTTTATCTCTTACTATAAATTATATTTTTCTTAAAAATATCTGGCACCGGCCTCAGTAAAAAATTGTAGGTGTATCCACTTTCTGTGTTTCGATTTTATTAAAGATAATTTAAAATTTGTCATATTATTTCTCTCTTTTCAGTAATTTCTCTTTATAACGAGATTTTTGAAGTCTGTTTGATTATTTTTTAATTGCTTTTTATATTCTTTCTTATTATTATTAATAGAAGTTATCACCGATCTATATTCTTACTTCTAACTTATAATAATAAATGGATACTTTCGTCTGTATTTAAACATACTTATATTTACCGGATAAACATTCTCAGTAATGAAAGCTGTTCATCTCACATTTTACCTCATTTGAAAGCAAATAAATTATCATTACGAGGGCGGGATAATAAATTAGCCTAGCATAGAAAAACTTGAATTAGTGTGTTAAAAGTATATTTATTTTTCGACATAGTCTCCTTGAAGCACTTCATCCATATATGCTCTAAAGCCTTGATGCCATCCCTGAAGTGGTTTTCTTCGAGCCCTTCAAAATAACTGTCCATGGTAGACATCACCTCGCTATTATTTTCCAATCTTTGTCCACCTTAAAAAATTTTGAGCTTAGGGAATAGATGAAAGTCAGATGGTGCCAGATCAGGAGAATAAGCTAGGTGTGGTAGCAAATCATAATTAAATTCTTTGAATTTCGCCATCGCAGTGATGCACGTGTAAACGCGCGCATTGTCCTGATGAAAGAATTTTTTTTTAGCCAGGCCGTGTCTATTTTCACGAATACACACTTCTAATTTATCCAGTAGATCAGCATAATATTCACCATTTATATTTTGTCCTTTTGGAAGGTTATCAATCATCAAGTTACCCTTCGAATCCCAAAATACTGACGCCATAACTTTCCGCGCTGATTTCACGGCTTTTGCTTTCTTTGGAGCCGGGGATCCTTTTTCCGTCCATTGTTTAGACTGAATTTTTGATTCAGGTATGTAGTGGTAAACCCAAGTCTCGTCTATAGTAACAAACCGTCACAGAAAATCAGTTGTATTGCTTTTAAAGCGGTCCAAACATTCTTGTGAAATTTGCATACGAACGCGTTTTTGGTCAACTGTAAGCAATCGCGGCACCCACCTTGCGGATAATTTTTTCATACATAATTTTTGAATCAAAATGTATTGCGCCTGTTCTTTAGAGATGCCTACAGTATCAGCTATCTCGGAAAGTTTCAATCTTCGGTCAGCTAAAACTGCGTCATGAATTTTTATCACAATTTCTGCAATAGTGGCACTTTTTGGACGTCCTGGACGATGTTCATCTTGGGTACTGGTACGGCCACGTTTAAATTCAGCCACCCAATTTTTTATGGTCACATATGATGGAGCATTTTCTCTCAAAACATCCTTCATCTCCGAAAAATCTCTCCACCTCTTAATCCTTTTAAATGCAAAAACTTTATCACAGCTCGTAGCTCAATTTTATCCATTTTGCAGAAAAAACAAATGAATGCTTTTTGAAATGTCAATATTTAAAAGAAAAACTATACGATCGATTTGAAATTTGGAACACTGGCAGCTAATGAACCAATGAGTAAAATACTAAGGAGATTTTATATCGTTACTAGCGGACCCGACAGACTTCGTCCTGTCAAAAAGATTTGTAATGTGGCAGTTTTTTGTTCCTACTTATTTTATAGTCGGGGCAAAAAATTCTCATGAACTGAACTGAACCGTCACCCTGGTGATAGGGCGTGGTGAATAAGAAATAATAAAATAAAATATATATTATAAGCATTTAAAAGTAAGTAATCGCTTTATTGTTAATTATGTGAATCATAATTACAAAGCCGACCAAATTGAAAATCAATACTAATGATTTACTTTAATTGAGTTTCGGAACGCGGCATTAAATCCTCCAACGATGTATTCTGTGCTCCAACGCACACACGCACAATGTATTGATATTATTGAATTTCAACTTTGTATAGTGGTAATAAAGTGCAAATTGACTCTTTGACGTTAGGAACACACCTACATTGCTTAGACAACAGTGAGTGCTTGTAATTTAATATGAACTTTATACCATAGCAATAGAGCTCAAATTGACTACGTTTTAGTTACAAATCATTTGTATGGGAAAAAGAAAAGGGCTATTTTTAGGGTTTTTCCAGCAATAATTCTAATTTTTCTCGCCGTAAAAATCATCCTTGAACTTCAACGAACATTTTAAAAAAAGATTTGGCCAAATTGGTCGAGGCGTTGTTGAGTTATGCGCTTACCAACACATTTTGCGATTCATTTTTATATATAAGATTATACAAAATATGGGTTGGGCTAGCTATTTGTCATCCCGCCCTAGTATTGAGTCATTTAATTAGTTGAAAATAGGTAATCAAACAAAAAAGTATAGTTTCAATCCAATGTCTAATTCGTTAAAGAAATACGTTAGCTAACTTATATAGACTCACATACATAATACATATACTCCTACAAAATGTAGCACACGTGTTTAGAAGCGCATGAAGAGTAACATAATATATATTGCGCCATATTCCAACATAACTACATACACACAGGTCAAATTGATAACCTCATTTCTTTTAAGATGATTAAAACCATACAAATCAAATAGATAATCTCTTTTTTGAAATCGGTTAATGACGTCATGCACAGGTTAAAAAAATTACCATATTTTTACTCGTTCTTATAAGTCTGTTAAATTGTTACTCCTTTTATAAGTGGCTTAAATTTTAATAATTTTTATCTTCAAAACTACTTAACTGATTTTGAAAAACTTGAGTATACCCTATGTTGAAAGCTAAGCAATTAAACGAAAAAATAATAATTGAAATCCTAGTTCTAGTTCACGAGTTATCCTTGGAGAAACCTACATCATCAGAAGCCAATATAAACCAACATATATGAATATTACGCCATTCTAACAAAATTGACATACACCTGGAATTAATAACCTTTTTTTGCAGTCGGTTAAAAGGTAGAAAAAAATAATGTTAAATACTAAACTTCAATGATATTACAATAAAAAAAATGGTAGATAGGTAGGTACTAATCAGTAGGTACTAATACGATGTCAAAAATTGTCCCCAGCATATACACGCACATGGCACGATACGCTCCAAATATTATAATTGACATGTCACAGACTAGACGTTTAATTATTTAATGCAGGTTTAATGCAGGTTAAAGACTTTGATCAACATTTCAACTTAAAAAATTTGATTTCTTACATTTTGATTTGATTATTTGTAAAGTCTGACACTGATATATAATATCTATAATAACACGAGGGCTTCAATCAAAATCAGAATCGGAGTATTTTTTTAGCGCCGGAGTTAGGTTACGATACTCTGAATTCAAACCGATGAGTTTCGGAGTTTCAGTCTCATATAGATTTTCAAATACATGTAAGGTAGAGCGTAGGCACTAAAGTCGAATTGTCCGTTCTGTTACTTGCATAATCTTTGACAGATCTTTTTCACAATTTATAACCAGAGTATTTACACTTTCTTTTATGACACATTATTCATTTTTCTGAGTCTAACGCAAATCAATAAAAAATGTATACTTACGAATAAAATGTGACCCCTTGGTCTTTAAACGACTTACTTATGTTGTTTCTACAGATTCGCATAACACAGGATAGCATTTTTAAAATGATTATGGTACATAAACACAATCAACGCTTTCGCCATACTGCGCTCAAGTATGTTAATAAGCATAGTTTTAAGATGACACTTTTTGAATCCAAGTAACCTATCTCCCTTATTTTATTGTAATATCATTACTAAACTCATATAGTTTAAAAATAAAGATCGGCTAGCTGATCTAGAAGAAAGCAACATTCCTCACGATTCCCAGCTTATTTTTTTTTTATTGGAAGGAACAGGCATCATCTCTATTAAGTGACTTCTGCAAAATGGGCGTGACGATGAATAATCACCTGTGAACCAATTCTGCTTATTTTTATCTACGCAATAATCTCGTTACAAAAGAATCTTGCATTTTGCATTTGTACTATCGACTTAAAGTCCAATATTATTAATGCAATGTCTTCCTCACTCATCAATGGCGACATATATATAATTGAATTACGATTATTACATAAATATTAGCAGAATTGTCGTGCAGTGCGCGCAAAGCTTTAAAATTATTTTTTGTCATAACTTCACACACGGTATGTGGTATTAATAAGTAAACAATTTAATTGGCTAAATAAAAAGTACTACGACCCCTAATTGTGAGCACACCTGTATTTAGGTCATGTTAAGAGTAATAATAGGATATTACAACATCACACAAAATGATAATGGAAAAATTATCAAGTTAATACATAACTGACGTAAAAATGATACTCATGTTATCAATTTAGGTTATAGTGGACTTTATGTAACCAATATAATTAAGCTTCATTTAAGTTAATTGACTTTCCTGCCGTTAAATATCATTCGTATCCCACAAAAATTGCACCTGCCTCTAGGAGCGGTCGCTAGTTGTTCAAATATTGCTACAAAACCAAAAGCAACCAATCTATATTTTTTTCCATTCACTCCTCGTAAGTGTTCTAAAATTAAAATAACTGTGAAGCGGCGTGCATTTGATAAGAGAAGTTTAAAGGACGAGTATCTAATACAAACATTTTGAAAATGGAACGGTAAGTTTTCTTTTTTATATTAATGCCGATGAATGCAGATCTGAATTTTTCCAATTTATTATGTCATCAATGCTATGGTATCATTAAAACTCTTTCATTTAATACCAAAAAGTTTATTAATCAATATTTTTGGTTAATACTTTTCTGTGTATACTACAAAATAATAGTATACTATACTAATATTAAAAACAGGAAATATTTGTTTGTTTCTTTGCATTGAATAGGTTCTGATATAGGACTGATTTTAAATTTTCTTCATACTTCTATAAAACTTCATACTCACGTAGAATAGGAAATGTCTTTAATGGGAATTAAGTTCAAGTCTTTGGTAAAATACATTAATAATGATATCGCTAACGGGAAAAATGTCAACATAAATATAAATGTCAGTTTTTAATTCAGAAAAAAAATAACAACTTTAGATTTGAATACAAATAATTCCCGCCAATCGTTAGTGGCGGGAATTATTCGTTTTATCTATTAAGTAACAATTTTGCTGCTACATCGTCCGCTAAATTATAACCTACGTCAAACGCGTATGATGTAGCTTCCCGTAAGTGGAGAAGTAGTAAAGAGAAAAGATGTTTCTTTACAAGTTTGGAGCTTATAATGAAACAGATCTTTCCCCGTTATAATATTAGTATATATAGATGGTGTCAGTAACTTAGTAATGCTTTTTATTTTTTAAATTAAAATGTTCATATTATATTTGCTGTAACATGTTCTGCTTTTATAACATAACAAGTATTCTGCTTCGACCGCGTGGTCCTATATTCGTTCTTCATCACTCTGGATAATGATAAACGCATTAAAATCCGTTGTGTAGTTTAGAATATCACAGCGTACAGACAGCGGAACAAACTTTGTTCTATGGCCCTGATTAATCGTTTTATTTTCGTCAAAATCAAAATAAATCGTTAAAAAAACTCAATTTTATAATTTAAACAAACAAAGCCTATATATTTTAAAAATTCAAATAAACCAAATCTATGTTCACCAATTGAGATACAAGCTTACTCAAAACTACTCAAAACGTACCTCTTATTAAAAAAGAATATAGAAAAATTTCCTGTCATTATAATCGTAAAATGAAAATACCGGCATTTATAAACTGTTACTACGAAAGCGTGATCCCTTAAGATCGTAAACACAACTATTAAACGAACTTTTTCTGTCCTCTTTTCCTGTCACATTCTGAATTGTTTACTACCTTGATACCATTTCACGAAATCTGGCTTTATGCCAAGACCTTGAGTTTACCCCAGGCATGGTATCTGAATTCATTACGATTGGATACCATATGGATTATTATCTATCACACAAAATATATTTTTTACTGCCTAAAATCTATACATTTAATCATATTTTATAAGAAATCTTTTTTAAATCAATTCATTGATCAAAATGACCATAATCTCACTTGAAAATCATAAAATGGATTCACATTGAAGTCGAGGATTGTTTTTGATGAATTTTGCATTCACAGTGCTATACTGGAAATTTTTTTAAATGAAATTATTCAAAAAGCCACCAACCCCACAATGAGATGCGACCCATCTCATCAAAAGAACCACCTAAAACGTCACCTCAAACTAGCCCTGACATTGAATTTTTAATGTTATAATACTTAAATAATCCGATATCCATAATATAACCCAAGTAAAACTTTATTAAACGATAAAAACTCAAGACATCTGTTTTAGGATTTTAGGTTATCACTTATTATTTATTTTCACTTGTCATTCCCACTTAAGTACCACAAACAACTACTTTACTACTAGCAATATTTATTCATTCGTTTAATCAATGAACCGTCGACATCATGCTTTATCTGACATACTTTTTTACTTACAGAAACAATTGATTAACGCTTCGGGAATCACAATTATAATATAGAGAGAGGAGTCGGCGTGTGTCCAACAAAATGAACAATTCAAGCGATTATATTTCCTACAACCATACAAGAATAAAATACAATGGTGTGCAAACTATGGAACTGTACGAAGTGTTGTGGCTGTTCGGTCTAGCTGTGTCTTGTGTTTGTTTGTTGATGCAAATTATACTTTTCTTCCTTTTGAAGCCGTGCAGAAAGATCGATGAGAAAATTTTAACGCAAATGACTTTAGCGAGAATTATGGTGACTTTGTGCGAATATTTGATAATATACTGTACTGCAATGACATCGAAAATATGGAGAGACATGTTATACACCATATATTTTTACGTAGACTTTGTCCTCGTGCTATGGATGTTTGTATTCTCAAAAAATCTATACGACAAAATAGTTATCGTGTATACGAGAACAAAACTCAGTTTGTTAGTTGTATCTATATTGGTATGGTCTCTCTCATTACCTTTTGCTCTGATCGCTATATTTACATTGAAACTATCGGATCCAACATACTTTTATTTGTACTATAAAATATACGCTTGTTTAAAATTTGTCATTGTTAGTACTAATGCTGTAATTTATGTGAAGATTTTTTATGTAGCTTTTAAGAAACGTATGAACAGGCAGAGGAATATTAGCGACATATCAAAGACAGCTTTCATGGCATTCCTTTTGGTAATCACTACATGCTTACAGGTTTTCATTACCGATGTTTTATCGTTATTTAATATAACTGTTTCTGTTAAAATATTCGGCGTTATCAATTCGTTTCATGCCGTGTTGATAACAATAATTTTTATTACAATTTTGCGAGCTAAGATGAGAGAATCTGATGCGAGAACAACTAATGTCACGATGACTGAATTATCTAATGATTGTAAGTGATTGTTGAATAAATTTGTTTTATTATATTGTATTAATTGATCCAATATACACCATCATGTTCAAAGTTAAGAGACCTTATTATGAACTAATTTTCTCAGTAAAATTTGTAATTTAAAGACGAATAAATAAGGTTGCCTTTCTTAATTTTATATTGGAAAACAAATAGAAGTTTTTGCTTAATATAACTACTATTTGTAGTGTGGTTTACTCAAAGAGTTTCCATTTAAGTAATAAATTATACGAGTTAAATAGTTTTTTCGTACCATCGAGGGATAGAATAATTACGAAAAAAAATGCAAATCACAAAGTTAGTTATTTTAAACATGGCGCGACAAAATTGTAAGTAAAATTTTGACGATGCGAATTTAGATAACTTCACAGTCAAAAAATTGAAATAATGAATTTCATATAGCATTATTGTCCTGTTTTGAAACAGGAATAATGAGTATAATTTGCAGAGTTCATCCCTGATAATAGATTCTGTCTTACTGAATGTAATATAAATAATTTTACTTTCAAGTGTTCTTGTTAATTTGTCTTAATTAATGATTAAAATTAGAAGATTGGTCAACGAGAATATTTTATTTAATTTGCTCTAGTGTTAAGACTGCAAGAAACAAAAATTTTTTGCGATGACAGCCGTAATCAATACTTGTTGTATTATCGATATAGATATTGTTTAAAGCACTTCCTTTTTGCTGGCATTGGATTTATGTTTTGTAAATCTATCATTCGAAGAAATAATGGCAGCTTAGGCGTAGCGTTTTAAATTTGGCATTGATGTCAGCAATAAGTCAGATATGTGTTCAGGCCATGTGTTATTTTAATAGTTTAGATTGATAACATTGTAACATCATATAAATAATGTGATAAATGTTAAGTTTTCTGTATTATTTAGTTTACGTATAAAAACTTACACATTAAATGTTGCTTCTCTATTCTCAATCTCAATAGCTGTGGTCCTCCTTGCTTGCTTTTTGCACCTTGATCTTGTTCCTAGGTTTTACTTTTTTTATGCCTATGATATGAAATGTAATTTTTGATTCTTTCTATTGAGTAATTTTAAATTATTAATCACATAAAAAGCGTAAAGATATTTAATTTTCTCTGTGTTACATATTTAAAAGATAATCTTTTTGATAACGACGAAGGGTGACAAGGGTTAGTGTTGGCACTTGGATGTAAAAATAAACACAACAACAATTTTCTCAAAGCTTCTATTTCCCACAAATACAAGTCCTCGTCAAGAACACTTGTCATTAATGATGAACAATATAAAAACAATTGAATAAACTTCAAAAATTTAGAATAAAATTATCAAAACATATATGATTATAAAAAGAGATCGGTCTCGCTGCTGGTCCTCAACATCCTCCCCTTCATTGGCGAAGTCCCATCAATCTGTAGGGACCTTCAACTGGACGAGCTTGCTTCAAGGATCATTGGGGAGCCAAGAGGACAAGACACCTCAAGAATCACGTCATTGTGTCCCGGGAAACCTTAATATGGCCAAGTCCTTCGTTGCAGTAACGGGCCTACGGCTAGGATGGCCACTAGGTGCTGAGCTCTGACCGAAGATCGTCGGGGCAGAAGTGACGGCAAATAGCCACGAAATCAAGGACCTCAAAACATGTCGGTGAGGTGTTCAGACATGTGCAAGTTACTTCTACTTAGAAGATCTCCGTCACCCACAACGCCCGGTACAAGATGATATGGGGATGAAATGACGTAGAATAAAGTGAGTGCTTTGCCAGAGGTTAAATATTTGTAGCTGCTCACTAAGGTAACATAAGAAACTCCTTAAGTAATACTAGTTGAAAAATTAATTACTTTTGAATACCGCGAAACATGGAAATGTGGTCAGTTCAAAGAACTAAAAATCATATTTTTAAAGATACTGTATTTTTAAATTTCATATAATTAGAGCAAACATAATCTGTTTGCCATGCCATGTCACCCTTAAATCTCCTGTGGACAAAATCATAAAGTTCTTCTAAAACACACAATTATTTTAATTTATACAGAACGGGACGAATAAAATCACCCCGATTCAAATCAAATCAAAATCATTTATTCAGTCTAGACTGTTACATGCACTTGTGAAAGTCGAAACTCTATGCCATTGGTTCGTAAATCTACGGCGAAGAGACCTTGTACCGAAAAGAACCCGCAAGAAACCCAGCAAGGGCTGCTTTTTTCTCCCTGTTTTTTTCCATACAGTGATGTCAAGATTTAAAAATGACTTCATTAGAAATGAAGTCACTTTCAATCACAATATGTACTCGTAGGTTGTGGTGGTAACTCCTATCTTTCTTTCTCTCTAGCCTCAGGATACGACAAAGATTGCTAACATTACTAAGAAACAATGTTATGGCGATGTTTCATTTTATTTTACTATTTTGACATGCCTTTTCGTATATTAATCTTTACATATTATAAAACAAAATCAGTTCCCGCTATTGCGGTTTTCATCAATATACAGTCAACCATTACAAATAACAAGAACAACATCAAAAATTTTGTGTGATCCCAACACAACCCAGCTCAATATGTGTATTCGTCAACCAGTGTTTATTTGCTAACGGTACTGTGATCATTGAAAACAATTACGTCACCAAAATGTCGGCCAAGTGCATTAGCAATTTGCTAATTATTTGTCATTTAATTTGTTGTGATTTTTTTTATGGGTGTCATTTTAATATTTTGGCACCAAGTTTCATTAAAGCAGTGCTAATGTTATATAACTTGGAGACCTAAAAATGGCGGCTTCTGTTGGGTAATAAATAAGAAAATTAAAAAGTTTCGCCACATCAGCCGTTCGACGCCTACTGTTGGACATAAGCTTCCCACGTAGATCCAGTGTTATTAGGTCGTCGGTCCACCTGATGGTGGGCCTACCCACTGAGCGTTGACTGGTAAGTGTTGCCTTTCCAGAATCTTTCTTTCCCAACGGCCATCGATTCTTCTGAGTATGTGCCCGTAAGAATTTGTTATGGCTTACGCGATCGCCATTCCAGAAAAAAAAAATTCTTCAACGGTCATCGGTTCTTCTCGTTATGTGTCCGTAAGGATTGCTTTTAGCTCACGCGGTCGCCATTCCAGAACCTTTCTTCCTCATCGGCCATTAGTTCATATCGATTTGTCCGTAAGGATTGTTTAGCTGAACTGCCACTTCAACTAAGCAATCCTTCAAACAATATCAGTTAGGTTAGTTCTCTACGTATATCCTCGTTTCGTATTCGACCATTTTTTCCATAATATTTTGTAAACTTTTTTTGTATATGTACGAATGATTAAGGTCACGCTTTGATCATGTTAAATTGAAAACTCGAGAAAGACGTATATTTACGCCTAAGTAGAATTAGTTGACGAGAAACAGCGGGACATAGAATCGTAGATAGGGCTGCCAAATATTTAGTTCATTTTATTCAGTTATGATACAGGTTTAACTTAAATAAGATATTAAATACCGCAAGATGACTTAATTAACTAAATGAACTGAAATATTTTTTTATTAAAAATTCATCAGACGGCTCTTTCAAAGGAAATAACAAATATTATATGATTCAAATTTTATATCGATTTCAACATTTCAGATCGAGTCAAAGAAAAAAAGGTTTATAAAAAATTAATGATAATAAAATATTATTTTATTACGCAATATATTATTATTATTACGCATAATAATATATTATTACGCAAACACAAATCGGGACGGTACACACCGAAGGAGGCGAAAGAAAGGAATTTTATAATTATGTGTATGATAACATCTAAACCATTGAATACATGTATAGTCAACTGCTCGTCAGGCTATAAACAGTCACACCACTCGATTTTTAACCTTAATTCATTAAGAGTAGAGGCCGAAATTCATTGCAGAAATCTGTTAGATATGTGAGCAACCTTTATACAAAACACAATGTTCGAAAATCTATAAAACAACTGTATTCTCATGTTTGTTTTCAATCACACAAGACAACAGCAAGTCATAATATTATAATGCGAAAGAGTTTTATTATATGACAGCCCTAGTGTTATATCACATCAGACAATTAAAACAGCTTAATATAGTAAACGGTCGTCTTGGCATTGGACTTATTGATTTTTAATGATAATTTATGTACTAGTATGACTCGCTTATTTGATTGTAGTTATATCGACGTAGTAGGTACTTAACTCGTAAATCGATCAATTAACTATATTGTACGACTAGCTGTTTTCTCGCGACTTCACCAGAGTAAATTATAGCTTATGTCACCCGTAACGCAGCCTCCAGAAGGTAAAATAATTTTAAAAATTGGTCCAGTAGTTTAGAAGCCTATTCAATGGAAACAATCAAAACTTTTCTCTTTATAATATTATAAAGGAACTGGATCGCGCAGTGGTTAGCGTGTTCGGTCTGCGATTACGGTGGTTAACCGTTAAGAGTTTATTGAAAAGGCGAGATAGTGGATGGGTGATCAAAATGTAGCATTTCACTTATTTTTATTTATGACGGCAAGATATTTAATAGCTTATAGTGTTAGTACTTAATCCAATTTAGGTTTTGCAATAGACTTATAGTTATTAACTGTCAGTATCTCCTCAAATATAGTGTTAAAACGAATGAATGAGTTTTATTATGTCTATAATTTACTACTATTAGGCCAATATTTCGATACTTAAATTAAGTTTATTATGTTATTTAATGAAAGCTTACAATTGGCCTTAAACATTTCTTAACCTTTAAATCAATTAAATACCGTAGAGTTCATTTTAAACTAAAGTTGCTCGTACACTGCCACAGCACGCACGCACCGGCCGCACGACACGCAACACATTGCACGGTTTTACTGATGTCATACGTCTACTGCAGACACATTTTGTATAGATGCTTCTAAGAAAAATGCAACTATCAGTTTTAACGACGAACTTATACTTATGGCGTCATACATATTTTTAATATAATCCATTGCGTGTCGCAGGGCCGGTACGTGCGTGACGTATGGACGTTTACCTTAAAGGTGTTAGTAGATAACAAAACAGCGTTCTATTTGCGTGAACGAAAAAAAACTACAAAATTATTTTACGCGGGCTTACATAAGCGGACGTAGTAATTTACGAGGAATGTGT